GGGAGCACGGCCTGGCTTGCTTTGAAAGTCTGAAGAATACTGCACTGCTGAGGAGTGTATGATCAGCGTGTGACCATTCTTAAGATACACCCTGGGGGGGGGGGGCCGTTCCGGGGGCCTTTATAACCCTTGGAACACCTGTAATAAATGAGTCCCTGCTTGACTAGGCTCCCCCTTGCGCCTGAGTGTTCCTGGTATTGGGGGCGGAAGTGAACGGCGTGCTTACTCATCCCCACTCATCATTGTGTGTGGGTCACTAGCTCAAACCCCCCGTACAAGAGTGTCACCTAGACCTAAAGATAGAAACAGACGTGTGTGCTGCTTAACAGAGACTTGTCTACACTGTAAGAATAAGGAAAACGACAGCGAAAAAAAATCCCAGAGAAAGCACACATGCCAATAAGATCTTAAATGAAAACCATGCAGTGGTATCAATACTAAAAAGAATGGGAAGCAAATTATTTTACTAAATAGGGACATTTCCCAAAGTAAAAAAAGGGTTAAATTCTTCAGGAATTATCCATATGATAAATGCCTTTTTACTTATATCAGTGTTTCAATATTACCTCCATTTCACCAGAAGTGATAAAATTCTTTAAAATCGTCCTTATATACTGAACAGGTCAAATACTTCTTTCTTTTGTTCTAAATTGGTTTTCTATACCATAGAAATGTCTCTGTGCAGCTGGATTCAAATATGGATTTGCATGATTCAAATCGTGCATGTGGAATTGTTTTCTACCAGTTACCCAAAGATATTTACCAAAATGTCTCCTTGTTGCCCCCCCTCACATACGGACTTATGAACGCATGCGCATGCACTCACATTTGCATCGCTCACCTCCAAAGCTCTTCCTGAGGTGTGGAAAGCCATCCATAGCTGACGACTTTCAGGTTTGTACAAAGAAGACCTTGCTGTCTCTTGAGCCCACTGTAATTCTCTCTAATTTCGGCTTCCAAGAACAAGGCAAAATTTTGACCCCAAGAAGGCAAGGAACCTACTTTTGAGTATCAGTGTCCATCAGTAAATAACACAGGAGTGGGATGACATTTGTTGGATTATCAACGAACTACACAAACAAATAAACAACCCTGTGACCTCATCTCCTTCTAGTCTTTGCTGGTTCTGTGGCTGATACACTGTTCTCCTGACTTCTCATCTCAGACCCTTTGCACATGCTGGTTCTTCTGCGTGAAGTGCTCTTCTCCTGGCTGTCAGCTTGATGGCCTCTCATTTCTGTAGGCTTTTTCTGGAATTTCACTTTCTATGCCAGCTAACACACCACGTTCCTGTCTCAAACAACCTTCCCTTTCTTTTTATTTCTCTCTCAGCATGGCCTGAAATAGCTATACTTTTTTTTTTTTTAACCTTTTACATGTGCTGTTTGTCCACTTCTCTAGGGATTCAATCCCCCAGGCACAGTGATTTGTCTTAATTTTTCACACCGAGAACAGTGACTGCAGCTTACCGTGTATTCCATCAATATCACCCAATGAATGAATGAATGAACCAGAAGCACAAGTCCTATTTCACGGAGTTTGAATTTTAAAATAAGTATCCCAGATGATCACTTACTCCTTTTAGGCATCTACAGGAAGTGCAACTTAATTTATCTGAGCTGCAATTCCCATCACTGTAAACTGGAGGTTCTGGAAGTTAGTACCACAGATTAGTAGTAGAAGGATCAGGAAATAACTAGTAGAGACTGCTCAGAATGGTTCTGAGACTTCTACAAGGTCCATGCTAACTACTGGTGCCAGATACTCTTCTGGTTTCCCTCAGGAACAGAATGTTAAGCTAATGTAGACCAGAAAACAGGCAGGATGTTAGAAAATACAAATCAAGTTATTTTTGCCTTTTAAAACATATCTTGATGAAAAGTTGTTTATTTTATATTATATTATTTATTTATTTAATTGTTTGTGTTTATAAGAACAATACTATTGGAATGTAAAGGGGATGAGTCAGTCATTAACTATGTGTTGACTATGTTGCACTGCAGGATACTTGATGCTAGTTCAGTTGTACCACAGTACGAAGTCAAGTGAGCATGTAATTCCTAGGTGTTGGGTAATTGTCACAAAATCTTTCATGAGAAAAATTTACTGAGAGTGTTAAGCAGCAGTATGGAAATCACTCAAGAGAGAAATGCATTTTTAAAAGTTGGATAATTCATCACTGAAATATTAACTGTAATGAATATGCCACTATCAAACTTGATGTATTATCCATTTGGACATTTTCCACACCCCAAGCGGCTAGTCTAATACCATTTAAAGCATCACACATTGCTATTATCTTCTTACGTTATTATTTTCAAGAATTAATTTTGTCTTAAAAATCAAATCTTTTCCAAATGAGAATAAATTTCAATATCTGAGGGATATGTGTGAAGTTGAATGTCAGGACCCATAGATATCTGTAATTTCAAATTAAAAATATATAGAACCATGGGAATAATCTTAGGAAAATTAAAAGTGGAGGAACTGACCCCTGGGGTCACCTAATCATTCCCTTGCTGTTCATGGAGGATCAAAATAGCAGTTCTGTTTCCTTCCTCTGAAGTTGCTCATCACTTTTCTTCTTATGTATATATATATATCTATATATCTATATCTATGTCTCTATATATATCTATATCTATATATATCTATTCATCAGTTTGTTCATTATCTATCCATTCATGCATATATCTAACCATCCATATTTTCAATCTTTCATCTAGTAAATAGGCATCATTTATGTCCTTGGAATGTTGCTGAGTCATGAAGAAAAAGTATGTTAATTTTCTAGTTTTACATTAGCTCATAGAGTTTTGAAAGAAGGAATGAGATTGATAATCACAATATAATGAAATACACCTTAAAATGGGAGTGTGGATGAAGTTCTGAACAATGAGTTGTAATCTATAACATATCTTCTGAGCTTTAAAAGATGTGCAGAAGCTAAATGTGCAAAGCTAAGGAGACATGAGTAGAAGCATTAACTCAGAAAAGTATTAGTTAAGGAGGCGCAGCTGTGCCTCCGGGCATCTGTGTGTTTGTGGAGACTTTGGGAAGAAGGGCAGATGAAACTGGGTGGGCTTGGTCTAATAATGAAGCATTTTACACAATGTAAGAACTTAGATTTCTTTCTGTAATAAGACACTTCTATAGATTTGTCTTTGTAAGTAATGATAGCAATGAGGAAGGGCGCTATAAGGGACAAGACAAAGCAGGAAGTATTGCAGTTACACAAATCTGATGGAATACCGCCCTTGTTTAAGACCGTGACAGCAGGACAGTGAGTAGTGAGGATATTAGAAGGATAAGTAGAGGCCTGGAGAGATGGCTCAATGGTTAAGAGCACTGACTGCTCTTGTAGAGGACCCGGGTTCGAGTCTCAACACCTACATGGCGGCTACGAACTGTTCTTAACTCCAGTTCCAGGGGAGTCCGAAGCCCTCTTCTGACCCCTGAGGCATTGCACTACACGGGTGCACTCACATACATGCAGGCCAATACACTCATACACATAAAATAAAAATAATAATAAAAATAAAATATTTTAAAAAAGGATAAGCATAAACTTAAGGGGTAAAAATATATGAGAAAAAGCTATGTTCTTAATCGGGATTTATGGAATCAAAGAATATTTCCTAAAAGATGCCATGTACAACGTAAAGGAAATGGAACATTGGGAGTTCAAGAGTGGTGTGTTTCTCCTGCTGCTGGATCTTGCTGAAGGACATGACATGCTCCTACATTTCCTTTGTCTTCAGACACTGGTGTCCATTGCAGGTCATGGTACTGATCCACACCATGACAGCTTTGCCTCTGATATGTCTGGAAGAAGTCAACTAGACTTGATGGGTACAAAGAATACACAAGTTCCATTCCACCTTAGACCATCACGTTAATCTTACATTCCTTGGTATGGTAAGAGAGGACAAGGTTAGCAGTAATGGGAAAGAAGTCTATTTTTCTTGCTCAAATGTTAAAAATCCTTTCAAAATTATAAACTATCTTTAATTTCAATTAGAGTAGGATTATTCTTTTCTCTTCAATCAATTTTAACCATTCTGACCTCTCAAATTCATGAAGGCAATGTTTTACTTTGATTCATTTTATCAAACTCCTCTGTTTTCTGATCCTAATTACTAGCTTTTCCTCTATATAATTTATTACTGTGTATTATTGCTAATCATATTTTTTCTCAGTTTAATTTTTAATATTTGAAATTCAGGCATGATACATCTGTAGTCCTCTGGGAAAGAATATATAAAGAAAAATTTTGAAAGTCTACATCAATAAAATGTCATAAATTACATCTGAAAATGCTATGGCTATTAGAGTGCTAATGGGGATCGCAGAATTAATAATGAGTCTGGAATGGTGAGGCTGGCTTGAAAAGCTAGTGCCCACGGGTGTAAGATTTAAACTTTGGTTAAGTGGCTTGATCTCTTTTACCTGCCCTAAAGTGTACATGACTCAAGTACATGCATCAGCAAGTTATAAATTACTGAAGGCATGGATGTTCAGACAAATCCATGAAGGGTTAAGACTAGAAATATTAAATTTGTAGGTTCAACTAAATATTATCACATAATATTTCAGTGATTCTTTGATGCTTTAAAGTTAAAATTCCTATCTGTTGAGTTTTATGTTATTTCTTGCTTGAATGTAATGAAAATATTTTCTTTGGTTCAGGCAGGATGTCTCTCAAAATACTTGTGAAGAAAACTTGCTATCCTTGTTTCAGCTATTCATAAAAGCTATTTAAGTTAGGGCCCACTTATGGGTATGCATTCCTTTAAAATTAAAAAAAAAACAAACAAAGCATTTGTAATCCCCTAAGGGCATCAGAGGACCATTCCCACCATGAGTTTTGTTGGAAGCAAAAGACTTACTATCTTGCTGTCCCTCTATGGCTGTTGAAATGGAAATGTACCATTTCTCCCATTTGAATCCTGTGATAATCTGTTGACCAGTGGAGTACCTGACATATGTTTGTTCCTTAGGCAAACGTGTAAAACTCTTCAAGTTCAAATGGAGAAGTAGAAAGAGAAGGTTTCTGCTGTGCCTGATGACAATTTGATTTTCCACTTTCAAAATATTCTGGCTCCATGTTGGGGCAGTAGTTGTGAATCCTAGTGTTGGTCGGATTCTAAGGAAGGGGCAGAAGTTTCCTTGAGAAGTAAAGATTCAAAACAACTCCAGAAATGAGCTCCTGTCTTGATTTATTATCTCACAGAGCAGCAGGTGTGTACACCATGTTAACAGGATTAACTGTGACCTACTCTTTCTTGTGGTTACTGTTGATAAGTAAAGTAGGCGATGGATGAATTCAGTTGATCGGGAGAAAGCACCAGGACACAGATAAAACTCCAGCAGAATAGAGTTTATTAGCAAAGGAACACATGGGACAGATTCCCTTCTAGGCAGGGAAAATGTCTGCTCTGGACTTGAGCTGGGGTCTTTTACAGAGGGAGGTTTCTGGGGGTGCAGAAGGAGGGAAGATTTTTTTTAAAGGTTGGTGGGGGGGAGTGGGAGAGTGGGTCTGGTAAAACCTGCCCTCTTTAGAGATCAAAGGGGAAGCCTGCTGTGTTGGCCAACCAGTGGAGAAAAGTCTGCTTCTCTTGACTTCAAAGACCAGGGTGCTTATTAACTTGGTGTCCTTTTCTCAGGGGCTTGCGAGGTCTGGTGAGGCCCTGTGGGTGATGGGGCGGAGCTTTTTGAACCTTAACAACTGTCAGCATTCCAAGTGCTTGATTTCAAGGGGAGACAATGAACTTGATACAGTTTTAGTGACCAGCGGGCAAAGAACCAATCTGAGGGCAAAGAACCTCTTCTGTGGTCAGTAAGAAAACAATGAATTGTCTTTTATTTAAAAAAAAAAAAAACTGTGAAGAAGCATCATTCTTTGAACTGACTCATGAGGTCCATATATATTGTACTGTGTGTGTATCCACATGATCCAATATGGTATGTTTGGTGAACCTCAGACTGTCACAACAGTGACTCTGTGGTGCTGCTTTCCCAGTAATTGGAAATAAAGACCACAGAACCCTGATATATTCCTGGACATCAGTTAGTGTTCATCCTGCCTCCTATTTATAAATTAACATGAAGAGTATTGTGTAAACAAGCTTTCACTTAATCTCCATAAGCCAAATCCAGATTGAGTTCTTACCTAACCCACTCTTTAGATATTGAAATTGCCCCATATTGAAAGCTATATTACACCTGAACTTAAGCAACTACAAATAACTAGGTGTAAAGAATTATATTTTGACCAACTTTAGAAATTTGAAACTAATGAATTAATATATTACTAAAAATGTTCAGGGAGTGCTGTAACTGGGAAGTGGTGGGAGGCATAATCAAAGCATCCTACTTGCCAAATATGATTGTCCATGATGCTCTACCCTTGGGAGAATGGGATTTTAGGTTTACGATGTACAGAAATGGATGTTTAAAAATAAATTCTTATCACAAAGGGAATGATCATCATTGAACTTAATTGTATAGAAGAAGATGGGAAAGGGGAGAGTCTGTCCTCCTGGAATTTTCCCAAAACATGCCGGCACTGACTTCATCCTTCCACAAGTTAACTAAGTCCTTTTCAAAATGACATTACCATATTATTCATTCAGACAGGTACCTCCAGGAACTTCACTAAGAACCATTTGCATCTGTAACTGAAACCAACCAGGAAGTTAAGATAAACATGTAGTTATCCTAAATGAAATAATTTCTTCAAGAATTCCTCCTTCCCAGATTCCATTCATCTTAAACTCATTTTGAAACATAACTTTTATAGTTTACTTGTGCTACACTGTAGTGAAGTAAAAAGTCTTGAGGTGTTCTTGACTACACTTAAATTTTAAACTAAAATTTGCTGCACAAAGTGAATAAAAACTATCCATTCAAATTATTCTTTAAAATGAGAGGTGAGTCCTAAAAATAAATTTAATATCAAATTTAGCAGGTAAAGTACATTCCACTTGAGTTAAAAAAATCTCAAGGTCTCTAAAATTTTGAATGCTGGTATGTATAATTCATATCTTAAAAATTGACTTGGATTTCCTTCAGGCATTATTTCCTGTCTTTAAGAAGTTTTTGTAATGTTTCCAAGAGATTTCTCCTTATCCTGATTGCCTTTCACTCTTATCTTGTGACTATTATTTTCATCTGTGTGTGTGTTCAACCTGCAACAAACTGAAAGCGTACATGTTTGGGACCAGGAGAAAAAGGAAATCTGTTTTTCTTCTAAAAGGTTCTACGTATTATTACTGAGCCAATTAATTCAGTATGCAGAGCAGATAAAAAGCAAATCAGATTCCTAATTTAAATATGATCATATCTCCACGTTAAAAGCTTTCAGTTCCATCTAGTAGGACCAATGGATGATTGTGATTCGGCTTAAACAGTCAGTCTAAACAGTCAGTTATGCCATGTTGTGTGAATCCTCACAGGCCCAGTTTGGTTTTCCTCCAGTGTCTTCTCTTGGAGTTGTACATAATTTTGTTACCAATTTTCATCTGAATCCATTGGGGGAATGGGATGATTTTGTTTTTGTTTCTTGACCAGAAATCACTTGATTCTCAGAATCTTGTGAGAATTCTTGTCAAGAAATCAAGATGGGTGTACTGAGCACGACAGAAGACAAAAGGAGAAGAGAAAGAAAGGAATTTTGTCAAAACAGATTCTGAAACAGCCCTACAGGCAGTTACTAACTACCCAAACACAAAGCAGAGTAATGCATTTTGTTAATAGACAATCTCAGAGAATCAGTTGCCTGCTCCTGAATAGATAAATAGGTGTGCAAAAACAGTAGCATCAGGAGTAACTTGCTTCCATGAGCCATGCAGGATAGTACAAAATCCAAGAAGGAGCACGAGTCCATCTGCCTAGAAGAGCCAGTTCCAGTGGCGATCTTCATTTGCACAGCACTGGAAACTCAGTGCCATGGACAAACATTTTGTTTGTGGAAGAGCTCACTAGTCCTGCACTCTACTGAAATGATTGCATTGTTAGAAAAAAGAAGTGTAGAGAGTGGCTATTTCACTGCAGAATTTAGGATGATGAAGACCATTAGTCCATTTGAAAATAATGCTTAAGCAGAATCTTACTAGCTGGGAGGTGAGAAGGAGCTCAGACCAAGTGACAAGGTTGTCAGGTAAGACTCCGGCAATTCAGAGATTTTTCAAGTGACAACCAAAGTTCTAAAACTAGCAGGTAGAAATACTGGTGTAAAACTGTGGTCTCCAGACAGCAGAAGAAGGCTGCTAACATCAGTTGCATCTAGTGCTGTGATTCTCTCCTTTAAGTGCAGAAGACTGTGTTCTAAGTCCAGAGACTCTTTACACCAGCCCTTTCCACATCACAGATAACAGTAATTACACCTGAACATGATTGGTTAGCTACAGAAATGCTCTGGGTCATTTGGAATGACTCCCTTTCCAATTACCCAAAGCTGTTAAAGTTTTCAAGAATTTAGTAAAAAGATTAAAAATATTTCAAGATCGTTTAGTAGTTGTGCTAGATAGCTTTAATATCACCTTGACACACCTGTTGAGGGACCCTCAATTGGGGAATTTCCTCCATAGGACTGGCCTGTGGCCATGTCTGTGGGGCATCTTCTTGATTGTTGAGTGATATGGGAGGGTCTAGTCCACTGTGGGTGGTGTCACCCCTGGGCACGTGGGCCTGTGTTGCATAAGAAAGCAGGCTGAGCAGGGGCCAGGAGAGAAAGCCAGTAAGTTCCATGGCTTGTGCTCCAGGTCCTGCCTCCAGGTTCCTGCCCTGAGTTTCTACCTTGGGTTCCCTGATGAACCGTGACCCGGGAGATGTAAGCTAAATAAATCTTTTCCTCCCCAAGTTGGTATTGGTCAGAGTGTTTTGTCACAGCAATGGAGAAACAAATTGGAACAGCAGTCATGCTGACTCTTGCTGAAATATTGAACAGACAGTCTTTAATATCCCAAATGTTAAAACAAATATCAAGGCTAGTTTGGCATGGGAGTTCTTTGGAAGAAAAATTAAACTATGGCATAAAATTGTAATAGTTATCAACTCTATTACTATGAAAGTAAAATATGGACTTGATTTTATGCCAATGAGTATATTTATGAAGATGATTCATATGACATTGTCTTATACTGCCTAGTCTACACCTGAAAGCTCTCTGGTCAGCTTGCTTGTATGTGGACATCCTAGACAGATAGGTGTCTTTCGTTTTGTGATACCTCATTGCCTAAGGTGCTTTGAGATAGGATGCGTATGTTCATGTACAGTTATGACCAACTTAATGACAGCTTTTCTTTAGCTTAAATGAAGAAGTTCGTTACTATGGAGCAAAGATGTTTTAATTGTACTTTTAGTACACATAGAGTGAAGCGAGAGCTAAATTCATGTTCTTGAAAGAGCTATAGTAAAAAAATCCGTTTGCGCTGAGCAGCACTTATATATTCCAAGAAAGGAAAAGTTCATTCAAACCAGCACTTAAGATTATGAAGGTATTCTCTTCTTCTCTCTACCATTATGGAACAAGCTCCATTTGGTGGAATGTTAATTTGAAATTGTGTCTGCTCGTGACGTTATTAAAGTTATAAAGATTGGGTATGATTTGCATTGAAACCTGCTGCCTTTTCTCATAAATACTGCTGTATTTCCTTACCCTCTAGTAGTTTAAAGAATGTTCATTAGTCCAAAAAATGTGTTACTAATAACATGGGTATTTTAGTGAAAACATAAGTCTTTTAAAATGAAATTAACTTCAGTGTTCATCATACACTGTCTCCTCTATTAGTGTGAATCATCTTAACGAAAAGGATATAACTGTGTTTTAGTAGTTCCCTGTAAGAAGATTTAATGACCAAATTAGAGAAAAGACTATGTCATTTTGTAAATCAATCTAACAGAAGATTTACATCCACGCTGTAGAAATTTGAAAGCAATTTCACAAATACGTTTAGTGAAAATTGAAAAACTTAAGATTCCAAAAAAGTGAGTGGTATGGTAAAGTCCAGTTAAAGGAAGTATCAGAGGGGACACCAATACAGAGAGACGTTTTCACATCTGCTTTTGGTTTTTACCTAAGTATGCCACAGTTTTAAAATTTAAATACTTGTTTTGAATTTTGGGAATTTCATGCAAAGCATTTTGATTGTGTTTACATGCCCTCCCCTATCCACAGCTGCTTGCTATTCCCCATCTGATTTCATGCTATTATTTTTTTTCTATTTTTTACTGAATTT